GCAGTTGCACTCTAATGAAAGTTGTCAGTTTGCAATTCTCTGAGTTTTCACATTGTGGTATCAGAGCACTCAAAGCAAGCTGTAACCACGAGTTGTGCAGGAAAGAGAGATTGAGAGAAAGCTTCAAATAATCTGGGATCAGGGAAACACGAGAGATTATTTGTGAGGTTGTTTATAGGGTAAACTGGGGAGTGAGATCTGTTGATTCTGCAACAGAACGCCATGGGTGATAATGGCAGTGCTGCTCAAGTCTGCATTCCAAAATTTGATGGAGACTATGAGCATTGGACCTTGCTTATGGAAAATCTACTGAGGTCTAAGGAGTATTGGACTGTGATCAGTCCAGGAATCAGGGAACCTGCTGAAGGGGAAGAACTCACAGCAACTCAACAAAAGGCTCTGGATGATCTGAGACTGAAGGATCTCAAAGCTAAGAACTACCTATTCAGTTCTATTGACAGAACTCTTCTGAAGACTATTGCAAAGAAGGGAACTGCCAGGGAACTGTGGGAGTCAATGAAAGAAAAGTTCCAAGGGAGTGCTCGAGTTCAGAAGGCTCAACTTCAGGTACTTAGAAGGAATTTTGAATTGCTAGAGATGAAAGAAGGAGAAACTATCTCTGAATACTTTGGTAGAGTCATGGTGATAGCTAACACTATGAGGAACTGTGGGGAGGATATGTCTGATGGGAAGGTGGTTGAAAAAATACTAAGAACCTTAACTGAAAGGTTTAACTACGTGGTTTGTTCCATTGAGGAATCCAAAGATATTGATTCCCTAACAGTGGATGCACTTCAAAGTTCACTTCTGGTGCATGAGCAGAAGTTCAGCAGGAAGGTTACAAAAGTGGTGACCGAGGATGATCAAGCTCTCAGGGCTTCCTATGACTATGGTAGAGGAGGAAGAGGCCTGGGAAGAGGGTATGGACCAGGTCGAGGAAGAGGCAGAGGTAGAGGCTGGAGCAAAGAGGCTGTAGAGTGTTACAAGTGCCATAAGTTAGGTCATTACAAGTATGAATGTCCTGACTGGTATAATGATCAGCAGGCACATTATGCAAGTTCCAGTCAAGTGCAGACAAGGGCTCAGGGAGACATGAAAGATGATGTTCTTCTTATGGCATGTGTTGATTCTGAAGATGAAATGGAACTGGAGGAGGAAGCTCAAGGATTTATGGCATTACTTGAAGATGTTAAGCAAGACAGCCATGAGAACTGGTGGTTCCTGGATTCAGGATGCAGTAACCATATGACAGGAGACAAGAAGTGGTTTACTGAGTTGACTACCAATTCTACAGGAAATGTTAGGCTTGGTAATAACAGTAAACTGGATGTTGCAGCAAAAGGAAGTGTGAAGATTGAAGCAGCAAACATGAACATGATGATAAGTGATGTGTTTTATGTTCCTGGTCTTAAGACCAATCTGCTGAGCATTGGCCAATTGCAAGAGAAAGGCCTGGCCTTCTTATTTAAGGATGCAAGTTGCAAGATTTTCCATGAAGAAAAGGGTCTATTGTTGCAGACTGAAATGAAATCAAATAGGATGTTTGTCATACATCCTGATGATAAACCAAAGAGTCAGGAAATTCAGTGTTTTCAAATCACTAACAGGAAGGAGAAAGAACTGGAATTATGGCATAGGCGATTTGGTCATCTGAATTCAGTTGGTCTCAAGCAGCTGCAGCAGAAAGGGTTTGTCAGAGACTTACCAGCACTGAAGGGGGATCTGGAGGTGTGTGCTACTTGCCTCATTGGCAAACAACACAGGAAACCATTTTCCAAGAAGAGTCCTTGGAGAGCAAGTCAGAGGTTGGAATTGATTCATTCTGATCTTTGTGGACCTATTACACCAGTTTCAAATGGTGGGAAAAAGTATATCCTCACTTTGACTGATGACTTTAGCAGGAAGTTGTGGGTCTATTTTCTGGTTGCTAAGTCTGAAACTCTTGAATACTTCAAGAAATACAAGGCACAGGTTGAACAAGAAACTGGTTCACAGATCAAGTGCCTAAGAACTGACAGAGGAGGAGAGTACATGCTTAATGAATTCAAAGAGTTATGTGATGAAGCAGGAATTAAAAGACAACTGACAGCAGCTTTAACACCCCAGCAAAATGGAGTGGCTGAGAGGAAAAATAGAACAGTTCTGAATATGGTACGATGTATGCTATCAGATATGAAGGTACCTTCTGTGTTTTGGGCAGAAGCAGTTGCTTGGACATCACATGTTTTGAACAGGAGTTCAACAGCAGCAAACCAAGGTAAAACACCTCAAGAATTGTGGTCTGGTAGTCCTCCCTCTGTGTCTCACTTTCGTGTTTTTGGCTGTGTGGCATACATGCATGTGCCTGACCAGCAGAGGAAAAAGTTAGATGATAAAAGCATTCCATGCCAGTTCATTGGTATATCAGCTGAGTTAAAAGCCTACAAGCTCTACAACCCTAACACCAGAAAAGTTGTGGTTAGCAGAGATGTAGTTTTTGATGAAACTAAAGGTTGGAGGTGGGATTCTGAGATGCAACCTGTTCAGACACAATTGTTTTGGGAAGAAGGTGATCGAGATTGGTTTGACTCAGACACAGAAGATGAAACTGAGATTTTGACTGAGCCAGTTGTTCCTGCAAATCCAGAATCACCACAACTTACTACTCCAGTCACACCAGGAGGATCAGGAGGGGGCTTAACAAGTGATGAAATCATTAATGAGGATGAAGTGGACATGGGAACAGGTGCCTTGGGAATCCCAAGTACCAGTTTGGGAAAAAGGGTCAGCAAGTTGCCTAGTCATTTCCAGAATTATGACATGAGTTTCACTACCACTGACTGGGTGGCAATGGTAGCTGTAACTGATGATCCTCAAACCTTTGAGGAGGCAATGCTGGATCCTAAGTGGAATGCAGCAATGCAGGAAGAAATGCACTCCATCAAAAAGAATAATACCTGGACTTTGACTGAGCTTCCAGCAGGTTTTGAAGCTATTGGGTTGAAGTGGGTGTATAAGACAAAGCTGCAGGAAGATGGCAATATAGACAAGTTCAAGGCCAGAATTGTGGCCAAGGGGTATTCTCAGAAGGAAGGTATTGATTACACAGAAGTGTTTGCTCCAGTGGCTCGTTGGGACACCATCAGAACATTCTTGGCTTTAGCAGCTTACCATGGTCTTACAATCTATCAGTTAGATGTCAAAAGTGCATTCCTCAATGGTGAGCTTACTGAAGAGGTTTATGTGGAGCAACCACCAGGATTTGTGGTTGCTGGGGAGGAAAGGAAAGTATACAGGCTGCACAAGGCCCTCTATGGCCTGAAACAGGCTCCTAGGGCCTGGTATAACAGGATAGAATCTTACTTCATCAAGTCTGGTTTTGAGAGAAGTCCCTATGAGCATACACTGTTTATTAAGAAGACTGGAAATGGTATTCTAATCCTAAGCTTGTATGTGGATGATTTAATGTATGCAAGCAACAACTCTGAGATGATTGCTGAATTCAAACAGGCAATGCAATCAGAGTTTGAGATGACAGATCTGGGGAGGATGCACTATTTCCTGGGAGTTGAAGTTATTCAGAGGGAATCTGGGGTATTCATCAGTCAGCAGAAGTATGTGAAGGAGGTGCTGACCAAATTCAATCTTCTAGACTGTAATTATGTGCATAATCCAATGAGTCCTGGCAGCAAAATGAACAAGGCTGGGGATGGAGTAATGGTGAATCCCACTGAATACAAGCAGCTGATTGGGAGCCTGCTATATGTGACAGCTACAAGACCTGATATCATGTACTCAGTATGCCTTCTTAGCAGGTACATGGAGCATCCAACAAGACAACACATGTTAGCTGCAAAAAGAGTGCTGAGGTACCTCAAAGGAACTATCAGCTTTGGTATCTGGTATAAACGAAGGTGTGAAGGGGAAGAGGAGCTGCTGGGGTACACTGATAGTGACTATGCTGGAGATACAGATGATAGGAAGAGTACTAGTGGGTATGCATTTCTACTTTCAGGTGGAGTCATCTCTTGGGCTTCCAAGAAGCAACCTGTTGTTACTCTGTCAACTACAGAGGCAGAATTTGTTGCTGCAGCTCACTGTGCAGCACAATGTGTCTGGCTTCGAAGAATCTTGGAGCAGATGGGATGGAAGAGGAGTGTCAAAGCTGCAACAGTTATCTTCTGTGACAATAGTTCTGCAATTAAATTGTCCAGAAATCCAGTGCTTCATGGTAGGAGCAAGCACATTGATGTGCGATTTCACTTCCTCAGGGAATTGGCGAATGAAGGAGTGGTTGAACTCGAGCACTGTGGCACGCAGGAGCAAGTTGCAGACATTATGACAAAACCTCTAAAATTGGAAGTGTTTCAGCTTTTGAGGAGCAAGATGGGAGTATGTGATGCTTCTGAGTTTGCTGCTGAAGTCTGAAGATGTAGTGGTTGAACTGAACGATGATGAGAAGGTTCAGTTCAGGGGAGGATCTGTTGGAGAAGAAGTCGAGCTGCAGTTGCTGAGCAATCCGAATCCGAGCAAGAGAAGGATTGGTCTTGGCGCCAAAGTTCAAATGGGAGTCTAACTAAATAAGACGGTGTCGTATTGCTAAGTTTAGTTTATGTGTTTGTCGATTGGATATTTTCTGTGTTGGTACTTGAGTCTTGTTTAGTGTTATTTAGGTCCTGCTAGCAGTTAAGCTTTGTAGTTGATTATGGAGATCATGTTGCTGATTTCCAGGTTGTGTAGTTAGTGGTGAAAGTCTGAACTGTCGGCTTAATTCCCACAGTGTATTTAAGAGTTGCAGTTGCACTCTAATGAAAGTTGTCAGTTTGCAATTCTCTGAGTTTTCACAGTCTCATGATAATTTGGTTGCACATGTAAATTTTTCTTTCTGTCTTCTTTTGTGTTTTCTTTTTCATTTGAGCTAATTACAATACAAATACAGAAAATTCCAAGCTTGCTTGTTAACATAAAAAAAACTCCATGGCGGCGTACTATGCTAATCTAGTCGACATTCTTGATGGTACTTTAAGTATAACAAAGTTTTGGACAACTCATTGTTACTCGAGTTCTAATTTCAAATTTAAACTCTTATAAAATAGAAAGTGTCAAATAAATCATAAAACCAAAAGAATTATACACCAAATGTGTTTCTAGCATTTAATGGAAGAAAATGCAACAAATACAATGTAGTCCGATGCACGATTACGTGGTCGTTGGGTTTATGTGTTGGCATGGAGTATGGACCCCTAATTTTTGAAAGGCCTGCAATCAGCTATGAAAACAACCACATTGGTTCGATGTATTCAAGGAACACATTAGAATTGGAATTCACAAACCAGGACGTGCATACAATTTTCATCAACTCCCTCGAGTGGTATATGTGGTAGTTGCGACGATCACATGGAACTGAAATTTAGCAATGCGATTACCCGAATGGGGTTAAGAAACCACCAAAGGTGGAACCTACAATCGTTTGCTCCTGCAAATTACTCCAGAATGCAACTCTCAATATTGATGTTTGTGAAGCCAATAATAGTCCAAAATAAACATAACAATTATAATTATTAAATAGTGTGAATGATACATCTCAGATGAATGATTGTAGGTTCCAGTTGAAATGCAACAAAGAAAATAACGGTTCCAATATGAGAAATTAAGAGAAAAAATAGAAATACAAAGAAAAGTAATGACATCAGTTTAAAGGATTCCCTATGTGTCAACGAAACAGGAAAAAAAACATATGCCAGCCATAAAGAATCTCTAATGTACCATCTCATATGAGAAAAGAACACATAGAAGTCATAGCTGAAATTAATTTCCACTACCGATTAGAGAAAGAACGACAGCAAGCCAGATTTAGAATGACTGCAGTTGGGAAAAGTTAAAACAAAGCCTAAAAAAAAAACTCTACCATCTCCCCATCACCAGCATGGAGCACCATTTGACATTTCTGAAAAATAACCAATTTACATCTCTACCATTCATGTCTATACAATATACATACCAAATTACATACGCAAAAAAGATCAGATTTTGGACGCTACCATCCAAGAATCCAGAAGGTGGTTCAGGGAAACAACTGAAAAGGTGCTAACGGAATCATGAGAGAATTTAATCGAGAGATATTTATCATATAGTCATTGAATGAAGGTGAAGTGCATCAATAAAGAAAGCATGATTCAAGGTTTCTCTACCTGTAGTTAAGGTGTAGTAATAAAGAAAGAACAATTCAAGGTTCCTCCAAAGCACATGATTTGATAAAGCATAAACATAAAGGATTCAGTTTCCAATTACAGCTCGCCATGTTTTTGCCTTCCCATATAACCATGTTGAAGTGTCTAATTCACTCTCACTATTTTTACTAACAAAACCAGAATTTGGCAGGCTGTTGTCTTTATATAATCATAAAAATGAACAGTTCTATGCCACATATGCAAAACAAAGAGAAACAGAAACTTATATTATAATAAACTTCCATGGTTTGAGCAAATCAATTGCATCCTAATTTACTTTAATGAGCTAAAGGGGGAAGACCTCTTATCTTTCACTACAATCAACACCTCAACGACCTGAACACTATGAGAGACAGAAGCAACAAAATCATTGAAGATAACATGAGGTTAGTAGTTTCAGCAGTGAAATTCAGTTACATACCCTCACTCATGATTGATATCTGTGTGAAATCCATAGCTTTGATTATTTACCCAAATTGACTGCATTCTAAATCACTGTACTCAATCCATACCATATCACCATAAAACACTGATCCGAATACCCTAGAAATTTTAAAATATTGTAATTCAAGGCTAAGAAAAGCCATGAAGTTAGACCCAGAAATAATACTAAGGTAATCCATGAGAAGGAAAGAATACAGGATGAAAGCCAATGGAATGCAAAATTACCTAGTAGAATTAGCTCTTTAAGATACATTCAGTGGAAACCCAAGAATCAGCCTATGTTCTCGGTTCTGGAAGGCCACCTGTAAACAGAGGAAAGGGAAAAGTATCATAGAGAAAGGCGGTGATGGGAACCTTGGCAAGGCAGTTAAGGGGTTCTACGCTTTTGCGGTAGAGAAGTTGAATACCAGCTGAGTGTTATTGAGATGACTCATTATCCTAAGTTGTTCACTTTGAAGATTTCAAGCAAGGATAAGGGTCACCGAGAGATTATTTTCAATTGATTAGAATTGTTGTATGAAGGAAAAAATAAAAGCAAAAAGAGCTCGAAAGACAGGTGGGAAGCGACTCGCAAGAACTGAAATGAAGAAGAAGCAGTTGAACCAGCCCCTCTCTCATCTTTTACCGCAATTCATCATCTCAATAGAAATCTCAACTCTTTCATGACGTTCAACTGCTTTTCGGCAACTTTCCTGTTCATTCAAGAGATCAATAACAACCTTAGGTTTAAGACTCGCACCTTCAATCTCAAGATGCTTTTGACCGTCTGTTTCAGGCTTGAATCGAAGACTGTCTTCTGCTGCTTGTCCTCTTCCAGGAGCTTCATGGCTTCTTGAGTCTCCCGCTTCTTGCGCTTCTCTGCAGCTTCTTGAGCTTGATGGAGTCAAGCGTGAAGAGGAATTCATATCCCTTCTTCTTTGGTCTCACCAGCACAAGAGAGATCTCCTCATATCGACAATCAGTAGTAGCAGAACTGATTTGTGTTGCACCTTCTTTGGATGAAAAAAGTAGGGTATGATTTAGATTCAATTGGGAACTTGTTCTTGTTCCGCTTCGAATAACATTCTCCTGGTTTCTTCTCATCCAAAGCAACTGTGATGGGTTGCTCTGCTTTTGGTTTTTGAGCAGTGAGGGCTCCCTCTGTGTCTTCGTCGATCGCAGACGGAGGATTTTGTTTGATCCATACTTTTATTGCAGATATGCCGGCTGGAGCTCTTCTGGCCGCGAGATGGGAAAGATGGTGATGATGTTGCAGCAGAAGGTTGTAAGGATCTGGGTGAATAGATTTCGGGATTTTTGGTTTTGAGATTTGATTGTTGGATTAGTTATGGAGTGTTATGGGCTTATTGGTACACAATGCAGAAAGGAAAAAAAAATTAACTGGGTTTTGAGTGAATCGATCAACGGGCAAAGAAGAGGGATTGAGAAGGCGGATAGTGGGAAGAAGCGTCGGCCGCCAGGTGTGGTGAGGATGAAGAAAATGAAAGAGTTTATGATGATGGTAAAGGAAACAGTTATGGGAAGGAGAAAGAGAAAGGGAGAAGGACTATTTCCGGGAAAAATGCATCGCCTGCCATTTATGTTTGGCTTTTGGTGAAGCCGTACCACTAAACTCGATTTGGTGCATCGGATACCACTTAAGTGCGATTAAAGTGTGTCCGTCCATATTTCCGTCCAGTTCACTAACGGCACAAATTAAATATTGTTTTTCTGACACATCAGCCTTGCCACATGGACTGGAACTGCTGAGTCACTTATGGAGGGAAATATTGGCGCCAAAAACATATCCTGAACACTTAAAGCCCCATTAAAACCCCCTCCTGCCCAACAAAGGTTGTCTTCACTTTCAGCCCTTGCTTCTCTTCTCCAGCCATTAAAATCAAACATCTACATCTTCTTCTCCCTTACAAGTTCATACACTCTCCATTAGACTTTGCTTTTTCTCTCCCATTATTTTTCTTCTTCTCTCGCTCTGTATTACCCTCGGCGATGGCAACCCCAAATTGTCGTTGTGGTGAAGTAGCAGTACTTCGAACTTCTTGGGCGGAGGCCAATCCCGGACGTCGGTTTTATGGATGCAGAAAATATGGGGTAAGTTTGTGTCATTAAAAGATTGAGAAAGCTTTGGTGGGTTTGACCTCATTGTGTTCTTATTTTTATTTTCAATTTCTAGGGTTCAAATGCATGCAACTACTTTCGTTGGGCAGATCCAGCACTTGATGAACATGTGAAACAAGTAATTCGTGGTTTGAACAGGCGAATTCATGAGTTGGAGAGGAAAAATAGTCATTCGTCTGTTTATGAAGGAAGCATGAAGTTGGGAGTCATGATTTTAGCAATTTTCATTGCAAAAAGTGTGTTCTCTTACATATTCAACAGTATGTAATGTTGTCGTTTTGTTATTGTATAAAGGGTTAATACCATAATTTGGCCCGAAGTTTAGCGTTATTGACAGTTCTAGCCCGACTTTTCCAATAAGACATTTGTGACCTACTTTTCAAACTATTGGACAAATTTGGCCTATGAGACTATTTGACCGTCACAATTGACGGTCAACCATTTTCCCTGTTAATGACTCATCATTAGCTGCTGACTAGACTAGTCCATATGATTTAAAAATTGAAAAATTAAAAATAAAAAGGGGAGTCTCTGCCCAGTCCCCTTCTTTCCTCTTCCCTCTGGCTTCTCTATATCATCTTCCAATTCCATATCTGATTCTCAAAATTCAATTTAAAAAAGTTGTTCTCATCAATCAATACACAAAACCTATTACCCAAACGTCGACCCACTGCAGCATCACCAAAAGTTGTTCTCTTTGTACCGACGGCAAATCAAATGGGAGATAAAGAGACAAGAGGCCGGGTTTTGTTGATATTGGGGTAGAGAGAAGACAAAGGGTTTTAGTGGGGAAAAGTGGGGCAGAGCTGCAGAGTCTCAAATTCTTCTTTTGAATTGATTACTGATGTTTCTTTCCACGTTAGTATTTGAGTCAGAGGTATGGAGTGATGTGTCAAAATATATAGTGACTCAGCAGCTCCAGTCCATGTGGCAAGGCTGATGTGTCAGAAAAACAATATTTAATTTGTGTCGTTAGTAAACTGGACGGAAATATGGACGGACACACTTTAATCGCACTTAAGTGGTATCCGATGCACCAAATCGAGTTTAGTGGTACTGCTTCACCAAAAGCCAAACATAAATGGCAGGCGATGCATTTTTCCCGACTATTTCCACGAAGGGAAGAGGGAAAATCCCGCCTAAATGTCAGCCACGTCAGCCTCCGCAAATCACTCTAAGGACACAGAATTTTAAATGGTGGATGCAGTTTTACTTTTCCACTATAAATGATACTGTAGAGATAGATCCCTCTATACAATATGGCAGTTCTCCAGGAGAATTTTAGCTTTTCAAATTTCCTGCCTTCACCCCCGCTAGGGGCAATTGTGTAACTGCGCAAAAGGAAAATTAGGCGTATCGTCTCGCTAGGGTGGGTGTCTTAACCTCTCTAAGCCTCACAAAAACTCAAACCCTTTTAAGACTTTGACGCTTCGTATGCCCGACCGGCGTTTTTCCTCGGACTGAAATTGTTCCGACGTTTCTTCAGTTCGCATAGGTCCCTCCAAAACCCAAAAATCGATCGTCGCCGTAAGCAGCAGGAACGTATCGTCGTTGACCGCCGGCCAACAATTCGTTCTTTATGTAGAGATACGACCCTTTACATCTTCACCAACATCATCTTCGCATCGAGTCATATATAGTTCTGTGTCGAGGCCGCGGCTTAAAATTGGTCGGTTCCGCTTTGCTATCGTCCTTCCTTCATCTCGCTATGCGAATTCGTTTAATATGTCGGTGTATTGAGATCTGGAATTTTTGGATGTAGGTCTTTGTCGGATTGCATAAGGGAGGCATAGGTCTCCTCAGTTCGCATGAGTGTCTTCTGAGCCCGGGGTTTTCTTTTCATACCTGCCGTTCACCGCCGATTTGGTTGAAATCCCGTATCTGCTGCATCTTCCCCATTCGCACAACACCAGGAGTATTAATCAATCAGTACCGTTCACCGCCGATTTGTAATTCGATTTGCAAGTTCCTATGTCCGTTTCACAGGCAGGACAGGGGAGAAAAGTCTAAAACGGGAACCCTACCGAGAATTACCAACGAGACGAAGAAGTAGAGATATGGCTATAGCTTTGTCGAATAATATGAATTAATTCCCGAGTATGTGTTCCTTCCTGCACCAATGTTGATCATGGTTCTTTCACCTCCCTTCATTATTTGCGCAAGATTTGTCAAACCTGGTGTTGTACTTATCGAAAATGTTGGCTGCAATTGACTTGGTAATGGGGTACTATTGGCCCTAAGAGAGCAGGATCTTTCATATTTTGTTTTCTATGACTTTCCAGCGTGATGGGTTGGATTGGTTGTGAAGTTCCAGGGTTTAAGATGGGTTATAGAGAGTAAAGAATAGTAGGAACTCCTATAATGCAATAGCTATAAACGACCCAGTATTTCTCATTCACTTTTGTTTTGTTCTTCTTCTATTAGTTTGCAGGACTCTCTTCGAATTGGTAGGTTTCAGCTAGCTTCAGTGAATCACTTCCTTCTTTTCGATGGGAAGTTTAGTGGGTTTATCTCCCCTACTTATCACTGTTGCCTTAGAATTTAAATACATCTCACTTGAAGTCGGTTAAAAGAGTAATTGTTATGGCGTGTTTTGCTGCAATTGGCTTTAGATTAACCTCACGATCTTATATCCCAACTTATAGGATTCCATTTTTTTTATGCATAGATGTGGTTGGCCAATTAGTTGAACATGGAGAGGCATTCCCCAGCTCCAACACTGCACGAAAAACCATACGAAAGGAGCTGAAAATCAAGTTGCTAGAGTAAGTTACCACTCATTGATGCCTGATTCATTTTGGACTATTACCCTTCCCTGATGTGAGTTTGTATAGAATGCTGAACATAACAGTCCATGTCCAGTGGGTGCCCTTTACTTGATGCATTCGTTTCTAATGAAACAACCAGAGCTAGGGATGGTTGTAGGGAACAAAGGAAGGTGGTCTTGAAATCATTATTTGGTAATCCATGTAAGTTATCATGGTTATGAAAATGAACCCTCTAAACAACTCTTGAATACAAAAATACAGGTAATGATATAGGTAGAAATTAGCATTCGAGCAGGATCCAAGTATTTATTCATGTCAAATTCTATCCAAGTATTTACTCTTTTCCGTGCATTATAGCTTAACCCTGCCTAGGAATTTCAGATTCTGAATGTCATCTTGATGTTCGTTATATCGATGATTTACGTATGTTTATCGTCAAATCCATTCGATGACTACATCGATCATAGGTTCTTGATGAGGTCACTACTGTAAAGATGTTCACAGGTATTGCTCTAAAGCAAGTAAAAGCTGACGCATTTGTTTTCTTCAAGTAAAAGCTTTAGGACGAGTACTATACTATTATAAAGCAAGTAAAAGTTTTAGCACAAGTTAAAACTGCTGCAGCATAGGTCCCTCATGAGGTTTCTACTCTAAAGCAAGTAAGATTTGCCGCATTTGTTTGTGTTTTCATCTTTAGTTTTTGCACTTCAATTAGTTGTACTTACAAGAATCTCATCCATAATTGCAGACACTCATATTAGTGGATTTTAACCCCCCTCCCCAAAAAAAAGAATCTGGACTTTTTTTTTTTACTTTTGCTTCATAAATTTCATTTTCAATGGACACCAAGCATTGTAGCTTTGTTGATTTCAATATTAGTATATCATTTGTCGTAGTTGATGATTGGGAGCATGAAGAAGTATTTGCTGATGATGATGAGCCAGTTTGAAGTGACCGTGAGTTATCGGAAGAACTGGCCCCTACTATAGAAATCAAGGATTTATGTGTTAAATCTCACAGTTGGAATTATAGCTGCCAAGCTGCACTCAGTTTTGTAAATATAAATATAATCTTTGAAATTGCAATCGGGCCAGATACTCTAATCCATCGTCCACAACCCTAATATGTTCAATCATGTTAGTTTTCACAAGTTTGATATGCTGGGATATGTGGCTCCGAGAAATTAGAGAGAGGTTAAGTGTTGTTATCAACAGTTTGATTTGTTGGGTTGTGTTTAGGACAGGAAATAAAATTCATAAAAAATTTTAATGGATCCAAACAGTTATGTATTAAATCCCACCGTTGGAATTATAGCTGCCAAGCCGCACTAACTCAGTATTGTAAAAATAAATATGATCTTTGAAATTGCAATCAGGTCAGATACTTTAATCCACCGCCTACAACTTAAAAAATGTGTGAAATACATGGTTGTCACGCCGGCCGGCGTGCCACTTGCTGACCTTGTTCAACCTGTACCAGTCATAAAACTGGTATGACACCACCGGTATGATCGGCACGATCGATATACAAATCTCCAAATAAAATGATCTTATCTTAGTGAATTTAATTGATAAAAAGTACTTTATTATTTATTTTATGTGTTAAAAAGTTAAATGTTGATGTTATTTGTTGGATTCAAGTACAAATATTTAGGTATTGACGTTAAACGTCGTGTTTAAATATGAGTATTTGTAAATTATTTAGGTATTTAGGTATTGACGTTAAACCGGCACACTGGCACAAGCCGGTTTGACAACCTTGATGAAATACATTTCAGACATGTCCAATTGAATAACCTTTGCCATTGTTTTTCCTTGGTACCACAATGACACCTTGGGTCGATAAGTCCAAATCACTTACTAGGTCAATAGCCCCAAACGCTCAAATGGAAATCACGTTGATGACTATCCGACAACTTTGTGTCGCATGACATTTTCAGAGTTAATTACATCGATTACTCATTGATAAACTTAAAATATTTTAAATATAATAATAAATTAATTAATGTAAAAGACAAAGCAAATATGATTATTCCGGCCAACCGGCCGGGTTATAAGCTAGTTCAACGTTTATGTACATTTTGAGTACATCTCACGTTGTTTATAAGAAAAAGTAAATCTATCATCCATCACGTATGAGAAAGATTTATTATTTGTAAAGAACAATTCAGTTTTGACTGATAATATGTATTTTGAGGTGAAATTGAGAACTTATTGTAAGAATTGTAGAGTGTGAAATGATAATGCACACGATGTAATCTAGGGATTTTGACGAAGTGAAGTCAACAGAAGAAGAAAACAAAATCAAATTAAAACGAAATGGTATTAAACCATCTAATTTGATTTGGTTCAAGATAGACCGGCAATACTGAAGCCCACAGACCAGACTGAAATAAGACTGGGCTTAAATCAAGACTAGTCCGTATTACGAGTCAGTGAAGAAGGAAAGATGAACTTCTTCTTCTTCGTTGTATCGACTCAACCCAGAAACAGAGGAGAGCAGAACATAGAGTGTTCAACGCGACGGAAAGAAGGAAAAGCATAAAGTAAAGAACATATCAGGATTTTTACGAGGTTCACCACAGGGCTACTCCTCGCCCGGAGATAGTACCACTATCCCGAGAGACACTTTTGATTTTCTTTTTAGACTCAAGCAAAGAAGAGGAAAGGATTACAGACGCAAATGAGAAAATCAAAAGGCAAAATTAACAGAGCCAAATTCGCACAGGAATTCGTTACAGTCAAGTGTGGTTCTCGCCGGTTAGCTGCGTTCGATGGGTTCCGGGGTTTGAGGTACCGCTACGCCGAAAAAGGTACGTCCTTTCTATCCTGGGAGGAATCATTCCACTACCTTGGGTACTAGAGGGGAATAAGATTCTTTAAGGAGAGATAGTGAATTCTATCGGCTAGGACACTTGCATGTGTCTTTTCATGTTTTCTTAATCTTATGTGTTTGCTTGTGTTGAAAGAATTTGATCTTGCTGAACCTCTACCAACACAGATCAAAGCCACTGAACCAAAACCCAACCGTTTACTCTCTGCCACAAAGAATCCCGGCTTGATTGTCAGTACATTGACCCTTCCTCTGCAACTCCTTAAATACACTTCCAGAGAGCCGTTGGAGTTGAATGTTTGTCAGAAAAGGAAGGTTGAGAAGACTGTAATCATAATCCCTGATTGATCGATCTGCTCCCCCTTAATTTGTGCTCCAATCATTTAGGCAATCTGCTAACTTGATTTACGACAACTCAACAATCTCCCCCTAAGTTAGAGATTGCAGATTGTTCGCTTGAACCCTGCAAAACAAATGAAACCTTTCCAGGCAAGCACAACGATTATCCAGTTCAACCATACAAACATTCATCAATCGAAAAGTTCCAAGTATTTAGCAAAAGTCCAAAACCAGCAAACACACAACCAAAGCTGGGAAAGCACATCCATCAAACCAAATCCAAAGATGGGAAAACACGTCCAGCAAACCACAGAGTAAAAAAATAGGTTTAGGATAAAAAATTTAGACAGAAAACACAGTTATCAATCATATCCATAAACATCTTGAAGGGTAGCAAAAATGGCATCCAAAGGAGGAGAGCCAGGATCAGAGTCATCATCATCACTGTCACTGCTACTGATCCAATAAACCTGATATCCTGATTTGGCTCTTCTTCCTCACGTTCCTCCTACGGTTCTTCCTCGACAGAGTCCTCCTCCTCATTGCTCTTAGCAGAGTCCGCAGAATCCGAGTCCTACTCATCCTACCCCTCAACGGCAATCGCAATCTCGTCCAGAACATCTTGAGCAGTGATATACACCGTGGGAGTGGTGATACTCAAGGGAAATCTCAAGGCGTGTGATAAGACGAGTGATAAGTGGACCAAAAGGGAGATGACCCTGAAAATCAAAGTACTGGAACATGTAGAGATGGCCAAAAAGAAGATGGGAATAGTCTAGGGGAACGTTGGCCACAACATGTTGAATGACCCAGAGGTCCAGAGGGGTGACTCGATCTAGCAGGACAGTCCTAGGAAGGAATCGACGAGTGAGAAAAAAGTGAAAGGTGCGAATGGCACTATGGCAGGGAGTAGGAATGCCGTGGAAAGAGTGAGCAGTGCATCTAGAAGAAGGAAAAGCAGAAAGTAAAGAACACAACAGGATTTTTACGAGGTGCACCATAGGGCTACTCCTCGTTCCGGGATAGTACCACTATCCCGAGAGACACTTTTGATTTTCTTTTTAGACTCAAGCAAAGAAGAGGAAAGGATTACAGACGCAAGTGAGAAAATCAAAAGGCAAAATTAACAGACCCGAATTCGCACAGGAATTCGTTACACCCTTTGATCTTGCTGGACCTCAACCCCAGCACAGATCAAAGCCACTGAACCAAAACCCAACCCTTTGCCCTCTGCCACAAAGAATCCCTGCTTGATTGTCAGTACATTGACCCTTCCTCTGCAGCTCCTTAAATACACTTCCAGAGAGTCGTTGGAGTTGAATGTTTGTCAGAAAAGGAAGGTTGAGCAGACTGTAATCATAATCCCTGATTGATAGATCTGCTCCCCCTTAATTTGTGCTCCAATCATCTTGGCAATCTGCTAACTTGATTTACGACAACTCAACATAGGGATGTCGCTATGATATGCATCTAGAAGCAAATTCATGCAAGGACAGACCAAAAATGGAAATATTTTAGCAAGAAAAAGAGTTAGAAAGAACGCCAAACAATCGGAGACCAAAATAACAATAAAAACACTACCGTTGCTGAAGAACACTATTACAACGTATAAAAATAGAGAGCACCACTTCCATATTTTATTCCAAAAAATTACAAAAACACTACTACTAAAGTAGAGCTGAAAAACACCAGCCGACGGAGATGAAGAGAAGAGAGAGATAGCATGCAACTGTTTCGTTGAACAAACGGAGAGGTGGGTCAAGCATAAAACCACATTATACATAGAAGGTTCAACTCTTTCGTTGAAAATGTCAAGTTGGGACGCTATATGCAATGGGGATCAAGCACAGGCTGCACTTCCTCCCCACCGCAACCCCAAAAGCTTCTGTCATGTCCAAATATTCTGCATCCACTCCATCAACAAGCTTCCAATCAAAATGATATAGCAGATTCGCCAACGTTAGTTTCACAACCGCAGTCGCATAAAGCATTCCAGGACACATTCTTCTTCCGGCTCCAAATGTGATTAATTCAAAACTGTTTCCCTTGTAATCGATCGTAGAGTCCATGAACCTCTCTGGATAAAACTTGGTGGGTTCTGTCCAATACCGGGGATCTCTCCCAATAGCCCAACCGTTGACTATCACTTTGGTTTTCGCAGGGATCTCGTATCCACAAACTTCAACTTTCGATTGGTTCTCTCTTGGGAAAAGCAAAGGCAATGCAGGATGTAATCTTAGGCTTTCTTTGATGACTAAGTCCAAGTATTTAAGTTCATGGAGGCTTGACCCATTCACATTTTGTTTCCCACGGTGCACTTGTCGTACTTCGTCTTGTGCTTTTCGAAGTACTCTCTTGTCTTTCATCATCTCAGCCATCGTCCAATCTATGGTGGTTGCTGAGGTTTCAACTCCGGCAATGAAAACTTCCTGTAAACAAAATATTTGACAACAAAAATTTCAGAATTGATATGAGACCACCACGCGGTTAGAATATGTATACTCTTATCACATTCGGAAGTTGAATGAAACGAAATACCGTATTTGAGAGTAGTAGCTACACATTTTTGAAATGAAGCAAGCTTAAAACTGAGGTAATATGTCAAGATATATCATGATGGTTGCATAAATTATAATGGTGTGAAAAGTGTATCATGATCATGGTAAAAAAAAGCATGCTTAATCTTACGCTTAGACACGTCTAGGCGCAAGGCAATGGCAAAACGCCTCGTCTAGGGGTTGCGCGCCTAGTTAGATACTGGAACATGGCAATGGAGTAAGACGACATATAAGTCTCTCTTGAATTTAACTAGATGGATCAAGGAAGTCAATATTAAAGGAGGAATTAACATCATATACGAAATAAATTTTCTATATCAATATTTTCAATAGCTCAAGAACTATGTGAGCTATTGAGCTATGAATTCTAGGAATTTGTGAGTTATTTTATTGTCATTAAATGCTGAGTAAGTTATTAATCATTTTAACTTAAGTGAGGAAGTGTTGTAGATTATTATTTCATCATGTAGTGTGAATAGCTATTTTTCTTCCAACGCCTTAGCACACTTACTCTACGCCTAGGCGAGCTAGACGCTAGGCAAAGTCTCAACGCCCGCCTTACGCCTCGTGCCTTCTTTAACCTTGATCATGGTACTAACTATATACATAATGGTGGCACTTAAACTATCAAATAGTGATATGAGGATGGTACGAGGTTGTTGTTCGTGGTTTGAACATTATTTTCAAAAGTAAGTTGAAATAAATGTCATAAAAAAAATTATGTAAATCTGTGTAAAATTAAAAATATACTATATCATGAATAAAATTAGTGGATTAAAAATGTCATTTGATCTCAATCATTCGATGGATTCAAAGGTTGGCAATTTGATAAAGCTCGCATGATTCAAAGGTTGGCAATATGATAAAGCTCGAATGATTTCGGATTATGCACCCAACCCTTAATCACAAATTATTAGATTGTATTTGAACATGCATGTGTATTTCCATTGCAATTACTTGAAATGAAAGAATCTCAAATGGTGAGTTTGAAGTACTTGAAACTAAAATAATGCAATTGAAATTGATTATTTAAATGTATTATTTACTTATACTTAATTACATGTATTTCAAACAATTTGACCATAGTCTAAGAGGGGTTTAAAAGTTCGATAGAGGAGTAGTCCAACGTTAAAATATTAATTAGCATAAACCAGAGGATCAAAGCATCATTTGACAGGGAGGAAACGGTAGATTCCGATCTAGCGCATAGGTTTGTGTTCCATATTGCATGATTAAAAGGGCGCAACGATTAATATTGGTTATGAGAAAAATCTAATGCTTCTTTTTGGTAAAATACTAAATTTTTTTTGTTGAGCTACAACACCTAATTCACAAATTGTAAAGTTGGTTCATGTTATTTGATGATTAATTACTACGTAATTCAAGACTTATTCACATAAGAATTGTTCTTATTCAAGCAAATAGAACCCTAATCTTTTGTTTTTCTCCCCCAGTCAACTCATAAGGGCTTTTGTTTGTACATGTTCTGAACACGAGAATACATGTGCTTCACAAATGGGGTAATCGGGATACGAACACAAGACCTTCCAGCCACAACAGGCTCTGATACCATGTCAAGAACCAGTTAGTCCCAATAACTCGAGTTGTTGGGAGATCAGGTTCAATAATGGATCTTATACCACTCACTAACATAGTGATCATCATCTAAACAATCAACAATCACATTAATTTTGATATATTTCAAAATCGATTTTACAATGACGTGAATAAACAACAAGATGCGTAAAAAATACACTAAGTTGTGTAGAAATTATAACCAACATGATTGCGTGGATAAACACCAATGTGACTTAAATAAGCACAACATAAGATGAATGAACACAAAAATACGAGAAAGTCACCTCTATACACAGCAAACCATGTTCAAATACTAATGGGTGAAATATGATTTTTGTTGCTTCTACTTTACCAACAAATAAAAACTTGGAAAATGTAGGAAAAATTGTACTGGTTAGGTGTATTTTAAATAAAAGTATTTTAAATTTTCTTTTGTATTTTTGGGCCACTTACTACAAATTTTGGTAAATTACAGTAAGTGTCCCCAAATTAAGTTTTCTTACAATTTCTAAACTTTTAAAATTTTATAAAAAAGTCCAGAAATTTTTATGGAAAATTTTTGTTTTGGTACTTTTATATGTTTTGCCTCGCACTCAGTAGCTAAACTTCAAAAAATTTGACAAATAGGTGCAATCTTCTGTTGGCAGATATGTCAAATAACTAGTTGTTGAAATGTATTTGAAGTTGATAAGTAATACAATAGGCATGTATTTTGAAAATCACCCATGAATTTTACACAAATATCCAAATACCAAATGTAATTAGTATCTGTTGATGCCGTGATACTCTCACACCCTCGAGATTCTTCCACTTGCTCCGCGCCTGGCGCTTGGACCCTGCAGGACGGGCGCCGGGAGGGCTAGACCCGTCCGTTAGCACTCCGACGATCAAGTCAGAAGCTATTCTAGAGAGAGAAGTGAAGAAAGAAGTTTAGTGTGAGAAAGACCAACCTGCTTAAATGCTACCTACCAAGTGCTATTTATATTACTCGAGCTCCTCGACCAAGCTCCGACCAACTCCTGCCACCAAGACTTACGTCAGCCTAGCATTAAATGCTCGGTCTCCCCGGGCGCCTACACGCCTACACGTGGCATACCGTCCATTTTCCACGTAGGGGCGCATAGGGGGACCACCCGCCTCGTGGCGCCCTACTGACCTTGTCCACCTGTACTCCCTTGTCTGCGAGCCTATTTTGTCGTCATGCGCCCCTGCTCCCTCACAATCACCTGGGTCATACTCTTATGGGCCATACATAGGCTTCAGGCCCATCAGGCTCCTTTTATGAGCCCCTTTCCCCTATCTCAACAAGGCCCAATGGGCTCTTAATTTTCATGGGCTCCTCTCTACTACCCCAACAATTGCCCCCCAGTTAGGTGTTCACTGGTGAGCGCCTAACTATGTGCCTGGTTTTAATTAGGCTTTGTGTCACCATGAGGCGCCCGAATTTGCTTTGCATAAGCCCATGCGCCCCTATTCCAAGCAATGCGCTTTCGGTGTTTATTTCACGTTGCCCCCCTGCCTTTTCAGCCAAGCTCGCACCTAGGTTCGGGCGCATGAAAGAAAGAAAACAGGAGGCGCATAACCGCGATCCTCATCATTCCTCTGGTTTTGAACAATCAAGGAGGCGCACGGCCCTGCTCTGACCACGCCTTCTAAACTTACACATGCTCAATCACTAAGGCGCCCGCTCGCACCCAGGTTCGGGCGCATGAAAGAAAAAAAAAACAGGAGTCACATAACCGCGATCCTCATCATTCCACCTGGTTTTGAACAATCAAGGAGGCGCACGGCCCTGCTCTTACCAAGCGCATGACCGTGCGCGTGACCGTACCTCCTGCCCCCACTCGGTGTGCGTTCAAATTTTTGAATTTCAAAATTCAAATTTTGAACGGAGGGCGAGGATTGGATCGTTCAGCGCGCGGTTTCCGAGGTGACTCTTCACCTCCTCCCCTCCTCTTATAAATATTCATCCTCCTCTCCATTCTATCGCATTCGCCCCAAATCTGCTTCTCTCTCTACTTCCTCTCTCTAGCTGCTCCTTCTCTTTCACACCCACGCGCCCTCCTTTCTCACATCTGTGCGCCCTTCCTGCTCTCACCAAGCCATGTCGAAGTCAGATTCTGGCGCGGCGCCGACCTCCGCCGACAAGGAGGCGCCTAGCATTCTTGACGTCTTGGAGCAGCATCTGTCGCCTGACCCGATGCGAAACCAGGATCAGAGAGCGCCTCGATCGACCAAGGAGGCGCCCAAGCAAGCGAAGGGTAATTCTTCTTCCTCCACGCCTGCTAATGTCGAGGCGCCCCTAGCGGCAATACCAGTCTCCAACGTGCCTGAAGATTCAGAGGCGCCTTCGGAGTCCGCGCCCACGGCTTCCACCACTAACCAAGGTATTTTTCCTATGCCCCCCTGACTTCCAATCCTTCAATTTTGCATTGCTCCTTTGTTAGGCGCCCATTAGCGATCTTAGGTCCGTGTCATTGACCGAGGACGATTGGATAACTTTTAGGCTCCGCGCCTACTTCGGACTCCGCGCCCGCTTCGTCAGAGTCGGGTGAGGTGCAAAATTCTCCAGCCTCCACCAACTCAGGCGCCCCTGAAGATGGGTCGTTCAAGATAGTTGATTGGGTCGATACTTGGCCACAGGGTGGGGCGCCTGAGAATATAATCAACCTGCCCGTGACTCGAGCTGGGCCAAATCACGTGGCCATTGTCAAAATAGCAGAGTTGCATCGCCTGATAACCTCGTGCAACTTACCCCGGAGCTGGTCTTATGCGCCTGCCCCGCGGGTCACCAGGGTAGGCGTTGTGGGTCCTCGCTGGATTGGGATCTACCGAGAGTACTTCAAGTTCGGGTTGCGCTTTCCATTGGATTCGATTTTACAGGGAATTCTGGATACATGCGCCTGTCCTATTGGGCGCCTGTCACCGTCCATCTTCTTGATACATGTTTTGTTTAAGTTGAAATGCCGTCAGAACGATATCACTCCAACGTTCAAGCTCTTCAAGCACTTTTTCACGATGACCAGCAGTAAGAATTGCCTATCTCTACAGAGGCGCCTGGACATTCCGGGACATTTTGTGGAGGATTGCCCCAAGTTGGGGCGCGCATGGTATAGGTCTTATTTCTTTATCAAACCGCACGCGGACTCTTTTTATGAGAGTGGTGGTCGGTTTACCCGGCGTTGGAGGGTTGGCAACACCTCGCGCTTTAATGTTGACGAGGCGTTAACCAGGGAGGAGGA